CACAAATACCCCCCAAAAGTCCTGCTCCTAACACATCTCCCCTATCCAAGACAACCCCTTCTAGCACAACACCCCAAAATCCTCCCTCCCAGCACAAGTCCTGTTCTTCCAACCCCCAGCAAGAATTCCCCCAAATCACCCCTACTAACACACTCCACACAAATTTCCTCTCCTAGAACTAATCTTACCCCCTTACCTTACCTCCCAAATCCCCCCCCAGCACAAATCCTTTCACCCAATCCCCCCAGCTCAAATCGCTCCTTCCCTTCTTCGAGCACAAAAACCCCCCAATAAGAAATTTCCCCTCCTGGAATAAATATTACCCTGGTGACCCCCAAAATTCCCCCTGCAGCACAAATCCCCTCCCCCAGTCCCCCTCCTAGCACAAATCCCCCCTTCCCCTCTTCCAGCAGAACCCCTCTCCAAATCACCCCTTCCAGCATATCCCCCCAAGATTTCATCTCCTAGATCACATTTTACTGCCGCGACCCCCCAAATTCCCCCTCCCAGCACAAATTCCCACTTTCCCTCTTTGAGTACAATTCCCCAGCCTCTTGTCCTTCCCTCCTCCTAGCACACTCCCATCTCCAGAACAAATGTTTCCTACTCTGCATCCCCCCCCCCCCCCCATTTCCCCAGTGCAAACTTTGGTATGCCCTTCCTCCCAGATTCCTCCTCATCTTCACACGTCAGGAGGAGCCTAGGGAAGCTAACCATTTTGACAGGCAGCCAGCAAGGAGAGATGCCACTTCTACAGGGCTAAGGGATTTGGGCTCAGGGACACCACTGGCTTTAAGATCAGGACTTTACAGTGTTTGCTTACCCTCCTCCTAGCCACATTCTTTGCTGGGAGGAGATGGGATAGGTGAACAAACCCTGCACAGTCCCGATCTGACAGTTCTGTTACCAGAGCACTGCAGTGCTAGGAGTGTGAAGCTGGGAAGGAGAGAGAGCATAGCCTGTTCTTTCTTCCTCTAAAGATTTGGCTTGTCACTACCTAAGCTAAGCTGACAAGGGTAGTGAAGCTGTTGTCGCTACTCCTGTCAGCTTGTAGCATCGTGAACCAGGGGCGGACTGACCATTTGGAAACTTGGGCACTGCCCGAAGGCCCGGGGTCAGTAGGGGGCCCCATGAGATACCTGGTACCTTTTTCATAGGCTTTTTTGAGTTTGGGCAAGGACACAGGGGCCCCATGATCTCCTATTGCCCGGGGGCCCCATGAATTGTCAGTCCGCCCCTGTTGTGAACTCTTCTTGGCGCCTCACCCCATTGCACATGATACCAGTGCCCTGGGCGGCTGCCCAACCTGCCCACCCCTTGCCCCGACCCTGGATGTACAGACCATTAAATCGAGAACAGGGGGCATTGCGTCCATTATGTGCAGTGGGGTCCAGAGTGGTGGCCAGGACACTTGAGGTTAGCTCACCTTTTCATTTTTCATGAAAAGGAGAACTTACCCTTTAATGTACACATCCATATCTGAAAGTATGTGAATTATACATAGATTTTAATAGTAACTCTACCACTGAACTGTGTTCTGTAACTTGCCTAAACTGGACAAAATACATGGATGACTTTTAGTGGGAAATCTTGTCCTGCTCTTATATAACGTACAATGTTCTGTAATGTGAGAAGTCATGTATTGAAAATGGTTACTTTTGATTTGGCACTAGCAGCAATACAATATGATTTGTGTAGTAGATCTAGAAAACACAGAAGCAACAGTAATGATCACCTGCAGCTCCAATGGAATTCTCAGCGAGGTGCCACCAAATGACAATGTACGTTGAATTTAATATTTAACTCTCCGCTTCTTCACATATTTTTACAGATTTATTATTTTTAAAGCAAGGAAGATAATAACAGCTATACATGGTGTCTATTGCCTCTCTTGTAGTTTCATATGTTATGGCAATAAAAGACTGTTAAAGTATCCCTTATGCCCAGTGGGAAGTTCGCATTTCTCTGGTTTCCATGCTGGCTTTCTGCAACAATCTCCAGTTATATACCTACAGCAATTCTTCTCTACCTATAGAGCGGTGTTCACAATCAAAGAAAGGTAACTATCCTCACTATGGGCCATGTCACACTAGCAATACTGAGGTTAACAGCAATTTGCCAGCAACAGTGTTCCTAAGAGAGTGCTTACCTCTTGCTATGGCGTTACTACCTTGCTGATGAAAACTCTGTAAAATCTCACTCTACAACAAGGGAGCAATTACTGAGCCACAGCTCGCAGGTTTGGCCAGTGGGGTGACACTGTAGGCGTAGATGTGTGGGCTCCTAACAATCCTTTCATTGACAGGCTTCAGCCAATAACAGGATTGCTAGTGTCACATGCCCTTAATTTTCTGTTTTCTGAAGGTTTCTGCCTTTTCTTAGCAGCTTCTGAGAACTCCAATGTCTCTCACACTTTAACTACTTCATGTCTGGACACTTTTACCCCCTTCCTGTCCAGGGCAATTTTCAGCTTTCAGTGCTGTCACACTTTGGATGACAATTGCGCGGTCATGCAACACTGTACCCATATGAATTTTTTAGCATTTTTTTGAGACAGATAACATTTTATTTTGATGGTATTTATTCTCCACTGGGATTTTTATTTTTTTTGCTATATAAATGAAAAAGTCCAAAAATTTAGAAAAAAAGTTTTTTTTTATATAAAATTTTGTAAATAAATAATCTTTTTTCATAAATCTTGGCCAAAATTTATTCAGTTATCTTTTTAGTAAAATAAAATAACCCAAATTAGTTTATAACCAAAAATTATAATTTTTCAAAATTTTATTTTTACATTTTTATTTTTTTTTTTATATTATTGTTGTTTATGTTTTGTGTTTTTAACATACCGTCACCCTAGCAGTACAGTGTCACCAAAGGCGGACTGACCATTTGGAAACTCGGGCACTGCCCGAGGGCCCGGGGTCAGTAGGGGGCCACATGAGATACCCCTGGTACCTTTTTTATAGGCTTTTTTGAGATTGGGCAAGGACACAGGGGGCCCCATGATCCCCTATTGCCTGGGGGCCCCATGAGTTTTCAGTTCATCCCTAAGCGTCATCATAGTAACACTGTACTACTTGTGGGGGGTGATGAAGATTTTTTTTTGTTTACACTGATTGCATTTACACCCATAAAGGCTGTAAAAGCAATCATTTCTCCTTCTCTCTGGCTGCATTCTTGCAGCCATTGAGAAATACTATGCGAGCTGTGATTGGTCACAGCTTGTCACATGGTACAAGGCTGTTGTGAATAGCCTTGTACCATGTGATCTCTGTGATCATTCACAGATTTCACACGTAGTAAGCAATGATGTCAGATGTGACATCTTGCTTAAACCTATTCATATGATCACCGATTGGCCAATCTGTGATCACATGATTGGGACCTCACACAGAGGTCCCATACAGCGATCGGTGTTCCAGATGACGGTGCCGTGCGCTCCCAGAGAGTGCGCACAATCCAAAATGGCGGGTGCCATTTATGAGCGGCCACCCACCCCTGCACTGCCACTGCCAAGTGGTTAAGCGGTAGTAAACAACGGCAGTTAAAAAAAAAATTGCATGCTAACACATTATGAAATACTTACCTTAGAACGAAACACTCCAGTGGTGTACTGTCACTGCTGACAGGGCTTCCATCTTCACCTTCCTTTGGGGTTCATGGGCACCGGCAGCTTGAATGGCCGAGTCATGATGATGTCACAACACTGAAGGAACAGCACCGGTATGCCGTTCCTTCAGAATGTATGCGCATTTAGGAGATATTAATTTTACCATTTATCAGTCATTTTGCCTTATTATAGTCTTACCTGTAAGCAAAAATCACAAAGTAGACTTTACTACAGCTTTAACGTAGGATTTCAAGAATACTTTGAATTTAAATAATGTGTTTGGGCCAATCGGGCCTAAATAAATTATTTTCATTACTAGCTGATATGGCTACTGTGTGTTCTCCAATCCTGTATACTGCAGTATTGCTGGTGTTCTGCTGCAGTTTGGGCAATTTCCCATTTGTTGCTGGAACTAAACCGTTTCCTCCTCCATCAATCAAGAGAAGCCCCGTATTTACGTCAGTAAATGTTTTTGGGTTTTGCTGTGCTTTATCCAAAGTCTAACCTTCCTCTAAATACACATAAGAAAGGCTTGGAGCTGTCTGGGAAATTTTATAGATAGATATTCTAATATTGATCAGTGGCAAATAAATAATAATTACTGCAGTAGGGAGCAGACACAAAGACACTCAGCATCTTTCCAAATAACTGTTCTGTTTATTTGGCACATTTGAAGTTTTTTATAACATGATTATATAGTTATCATATTATTATAATTCTAGGTTTTACATAGACAGGCTAGTTTCCTATCAAAACAAAGAATGTGAATATGTAATCAAATCATTATTAGCGCCGTGAGCAGAATATGAGTGTAGCATGCAATAATTGAGCAAAGCAAACAAAATGTACTACAGTTTTATGCAGATTTTAAAATTGCTTCATGGAGCTAAAAAGAGATGTTTGGGAATTGGAAAAAAAATCAAACAACTATACTTACACAAGTGGACGCAGCATCAGTCCCATTCTGCATCTGTCCCCCACCACTTCTGAGACTGAGAACTGAGTGATCAAATACTGCTAATCGCTCAGTTCTCAATATTCAGTGAGCAGAGAAGCTGTGACTGTCAGTCATTGGCTCTCTGCTCTATCTCTCCAGTTCTCACTGAAGTACCTGGCTGTGGAGGGAACAGGAGGTGCTGGCTCAGGCTTTCAGCAGATCGCTGAGAAGCTGAGCCAGCTGCCATTTCGGGAATCTGGGTGGATCCCGCCATTAAAGTCAGGATCGATCCAGAGCCTGGACTGTTGAGTGACGTCAGCTGAAAATGGATCATAGAAGTGCAGCCTGTGATCCATAGTAGAAGTATGGTCAAAAGAGCTTTGGCCCTACTTCTCCTTTAAAAGTGTAAGTTCACAGGAGTATAAAGGCAGTGCTAATTTACAGAAAATGATTGACTCAAGAACTATATGTATTCAAAGAAAGTGAAAATAAATTGAACCTACAAATAAACTCTTATTTAAATGCATACTCTAAGTAAAAAACAATTACAAAAAAAAACACACATAAAAAATAACCAAGAATATCATAAATTGATTATGTGCATCCCCAAAATTCTTTATCAATCCATGATTATTAAACAGTGCTAAAACTAGTAAGTAGAAAACAAATCAATCAGTGCAAACAATTTATATTTCAATTCTGACACACCCCGCAAGGAAGAAAAAATATATTTGAAACATATTTAAAAAATATTCTTCCCGAATATATTGACATACTATATTTGAAATGCTAAAATTTTGGCCATATTCAATATATTTCAAAATATATTTATATATATATATATATATATATATATATATATATATATACACTGCATGTTGAAATACATTTTTATTACAAAATATATGAAAAATATTTTTAAAAATACATTTCAAATATACTGTAATATATGTTAAAATGACTTTTTTTTATATGTTAATAAAATCTGAAGAATATATTAAAAAAAATATTTAAAAATATATTCAGATTTTTTTAACATACAAAAAAGTAATTTTAACATATATTTTTACATATATTTGTAAATGCATTCCAAAAATGTAGATTTGTATTTTAAAGACATACAGTATATTTGAAATGTATTTTAAAAAATATTTTTCATATATGTTGTAATAAAAATGCATTTCAACATGCCGTGTATATATATATATATATATATATATATATATATATATATATATATATAGTGGGGCAAAAAAGTATTTAGTCAGCCACCAATTGTGCAAGTTCTCCCACTTAAAAAGATGAGAGAGGCCTGTAATTGGCATCATAGGTAGACCTTAACTATGAGAGACAAAATGAGAAAAAAAATCCAGACAATCACATTGACTGATTTGGAAAGAATTTATTTGCAAATTATGGTGGAAAATAAGTATTTGGTCAATATCCAAAAGTTAATCTCAATACTTTGTTATATATCCTTTGTTGGCAATGACAGAGGTCAAACGTTTCCTGTAAGTCTTCACAAGGTTGGCACACACTGTTTCTGGTATGTTGGCCCATTCCTCCATGCAGATCTCCTGTAGAGCAGTGATGTTTTGGGGCTGTCGCTGGGCAACATGGACTTTCAACTCCCTCCAAAGGTTTTCTATGGGGTTGAGATCTGGAGACTGGCTAGGCCACTCCAGGACCTTGAAATGCTTCTTACGAAGCCACACCTTCGTTGCCCGAGCGGTATGTTTGGGAGCATTGTCATGTTGGAAGACCCAGCCACATTTCATCTTCAATACCCTTGCTGATGGAAGGAGGTTTGCACTCAAAATCTCACGATACATGGCCCCATTCATTTTGTCCTGTACATGGATCAGTCGTCCTGGTCCCTTTGCGGAGAAACAGCCCCAAAGCATGATGTTGCCACCCCCATGCTTCACAGTAGGTATGGTGTTCTTTGGATGGAACTCAGCATTCTCTCTCTCCAAACACGAGTTGTGTTTCTACCGAACAGTTCTATTTTGGTTTCATCTGACCATATGACATTCTTCCAATCCTCTTCTTGATCATCCAAATGCTCTCTAGCAAACTTCAGACGGGCCCGGACATGTACTGGCTTAAGCAGGGGGACACGTCTGGCACTGCAGGATCTGAGTCCCTAGCGGTGTAGAGTGTTACTGATGGTAGCCTTTGTTACGTTGGTCCCAGCTCTCTGCAGGTCATTCAGTAGGTCCCCCGTGTGGTCCTGGGATTTTTTTCACCGTTCTTGTGATCATTTTGACCCCACGGGGTGAGATCTTGCGTGGAGCCCCAGATCGAGGGAGATTATCAGTGGTCTGGTATGTCTTCCATTTTCTAATTATTGCTCCCACAGTTGATTTGTTCACACCAAGCTGCTTGCCTATTGCAGATTCAGTCTTCCCACCTGGTGCAGGTCTACAATTTTGTTTCTGGTGTCCTTCAACAGCTCTTTGGTCTTCACCATAGTGGAGTTTGGAGTGTGACTGTTTGAGGTTGTGGACAGGTGTCTTTTATACTGATAACAAGTTCAAACAGGTGCCATTAATACAGGTAATGAGTGCAGGACAGAGGAGCCTCTTAAAGAAGGTGGTACAGGTCTGTGACAGCCAGAAATCTTGCTTGTTTGTAGGTGACCAAATACTTATTTTCCACCATAATTTGCAAATAAATTCTTTCCAAATCAGCCAATGTGATTGTCTGGATTTTTTGTTTTCTCATTTTGTCTCTCATAGTTGAGGTCTACCTATGATGCCAATTACAGGCCTCTCTCATCTTTTTAAGTGGGAGAACTTGCACAATTGGTTGCTGACTAAATAGTTTTTTGCCCCACTGTATATATTTATTTATTTATTGAAATATATTTTGAAATATATTGAATATGGCCAAAATTGTAGCATTTCAAATATATGTCAATATATTTGGGAAGAATATTTTTAAAATATATTTCAAATATATTTTTCTTCCATATGGGACATAAGGAACCAACCAAATAATGAGAAGTCCTAAGTGCACAATGTATACGGGCCAGCGATGTATAAATGAAAAAAGTCCCAGTGAAGAGGTGAAACCAAAAGATGAATGCTTCTTATGACAATTGAAAAGATTCTTACCAAAGCTCAATGACCCTCACTTAAAGCACAGTCATAACAAGCATAGGAGCCATATAAGCCAGCACAACCTACCCCCCCAAGCAGCTCTGGTTGTGGATATTCAGCTCATAACAGTCACAAATATAAAACATGGGAGAAGATGACCAATAGTGTAAATCCAATAAAATATGTTTATTTAAAATAGAATTAAAAACAGTAGTGCTTAGCCATGCGGGATGACATTGTCTCACCCCAACTTTGCCTAAAGTTGGAATGAGGTGACGTCATCATGCATGTAAGCGTGGCCAACAGACATTGCTGTTTGATGTACATGGATAAGCGCTACTACAGTATGATAATGTGAGTGTTTTAAATTCTATTTTAAACAAATTTCAAACAGCTCATCCCCCACAGAGGTAAGTACAGTGTCAGTTTTGTGGGGGAGGGTGTATGGTGTTAGTTCACCTTTCCATTTATTCTGAAGAGGCGAACTGAATCTTTAAAGGAGGACTGTAATCAGATTATGGATATTCCAATATATACATATTCTTACATATCTAGTAGATCCTCATAACCAAGCTAAACAGAATGGATGGAGGAATTTCCTCTGCCAGCTATTATATTCAGACAGATGGCACCTACGGCTGTGTGAATACCCTGTGACTACACTGGATTTGATGGCGTCACTGTTCAGTGGACAATTTTCCACCTGGCTCCCTCAATTTTTTGATCAAAGTTTGCTAAGCCAAGTGATACTGACAGAATCACCCATGATTCAACTTTGTCTGATTCAGCAAGAATCCAACAAAGTTTTAGCCCTTACCTACTGAAATATTGCTTGTTTATAGAGCTGAGCAGTTGAAGCTGAAATTTACACGCAATATGGGAAATTTACTAAAACTGGAGTGTGCAAAAATCTGGAGCAGCTCTACATAGAAACAAACCAGCTTTCAGGTTTTAGGCCTCTTTCACCTGGGTGATCCCCACTGAGCAGGCGATGACGGGCCAGTGTCTGCTCTGTGGACATGCACACAGCCCGTTGTTCTCTATGAGACTATTGGATGTAAACGGACCGCCTGTTTGTTTTTAGCATGTTGGATACATGTCTATCTTGATCCGCCTCCACATAGAGAACAACGGATGGTCTGACTGGGTCTGCATGAAAAATGGAAAGGAAGACCCAATCGGTCCACCTGTGTGAAAGAGTCCTTATTGTCAAAGCTTAAATGAATAAGCTGAAGTTAGAAACTGATTGGCTACCATGCACAGCTGTACCAGATTCTGAGTCCTCCAGTTTTAGTAAATCCCCCCCAATAAATGAGAGCAGTGACTCCTGCCTCTTCCAAGGAAGCAATTGCCTGGTTCTAGAATAAAGCAAGCCCCCCTGAAGTCTATGTGATGGTAACTCTTCACTTAAAAAGAGTACTCTTGAAGGCAAACAGCTTCTGCTCGATGTCTCTTTAGAAAACCCATAATGCTCTGTGACAGCAGTATAATGAAAGCACATATGTTTAATTTTAAAACAAAGAATTTATATACAATACATAATAATATCTGATTTAAAACTGTTTCCAAACATAGTAATGTAAAATGCTAAATAAAAAAACAGCCCCAAAACCTATTGTAGATTTCATTTACCAGCTCTCTGGGTCATTCCCCATAATAGACAAGTATTTTCATATCTCAGTTCAGGCCACGACCATTAAATGAAAGTGCTCTGCTTGCAACATAAAAGCTGTTCTTTCCTTCACTTTGTGTTAATGAACCCAACTGTTGTTTTTTTCAGTTTTGCTGCTGTGTAGTTTGTCCAATCATATCAGCCTCCAGATATCCCCTCAGCCATGTTACCAGAAGAACTTGTTTGTATTACGAATCATGAGCAATATTCCAGGTAGTGGGAAATGTTTTGCTTACGTTCATCCTAAAAGGATGTTTAGAGTGTTCCTTTTCCACAGCTCAAACAGTTTTAGGTAGGATTCAGGCATGACGATAAACAACACTGTACAGACTGCTACTACCCAACTAGAAATTCATCACATCAAACCAGGAATTATTAACATACCATGAAATACAAAAAAACACCATACACTACTAAATATATACTATGTGCAGCTTCGGCATAATAGTTCCAAAAGGCCAATGTAAACTGTATGCCACACCAAAATATTTGCAAGACTACTCATTACAAGATAACCATACACATTTTATTGTTTCTTAGATATCCATGGAAAAAAGATCAACTCAAAGAGTTGTCACACTTCCATGGACATCGATCCAGCGCCAGGTTTTGCCTCCTATTACTGTTGCTTGGGTTCTTGCCTTGAACCTAGGTAATATTAAGCCTTTGTACCAGTGTGTTAAAGCTCAAGCAACGTGTTTTCACATAGAAGACAGGCCCCTCTGGTTCCTGTGGGGCTAGCAGGGTTCTTGCAGAGTATCAGTGTAAGCTGGTTGCTCATACAGTACCTCTTATGGGCAGGAAGCACCAACTACCTAGAGC